AATATCAGTGTGTCCTTGAATTGATTTATCTTGTATTGATCACAACAACATATAATAAAAAATTGTTTCAGTTTTTAAAAAGATATATAGGACATTAATTTGTTTGGATACTAGTGTGGCCATTTTGAAATATAATGTCTAGACTGGTTCTCTTTTATGGTATTTGTTAAAATTATTGCTTTATTGCTGTGTACTATGGTGTTTGTTTTCTTTAATTTAAGATTTGAGCTAGTGATTGAGGATGTTATCTCTGTGATAGCAAAACATAGGGTCTCATAGTAGCCCAAACTAGCAATAAGGCATTGGTCTAGTGGGGTAAAATCTCGCTAGATTTCCGAAAGGTCAATGATTCGATTTTTGTGAGCGATATTTGTTGGGAGTGACAGTCACGCACACCGAAAGAAATTATTTTCTTACCTAAAAGGTGAGAAGATATTATTGATAGTAAAAAAAGTTAATAGTAGCACAAACTAACGACCATGAAACAAAATTGTCCATAGTTTTGCAAGTGGTTCATCAAGGAATTGGCCCTTTCCTCAAGTTCAATTTAGAGTAGCACAAACAGAATGAAGATGTGCTGTCTCTCTTTGTGTCCTAAATGGTGTCCTGCACCAATCAAAATGTATGATTTAGTTAAAGAAAAAAAATTATAAAAACATGAAGTAATATTTTATATTATTTGGTGTAATCTTATTGGATGAAGACACATATATAAGATTGTTTTGGGACAGATGATCCTTGTTGCCACAGCTAACCAATAATCTTTGATTTGTTGCATATGGATTTCAACAATTCATGATGTCAATGCTCTTTATGGCTCAGGAAGATAACCCTTAATCCTATATTTCAGCCTTGTTGCAAATACCAACTCAGGGTTCAATTTTCATCATTAATAAAACAAGCATAATATAAGGTATTCTTACATATTTTTCCTGAAAAATGATGAAGGAACATGGCATTAGATTATGTAAGAATTATCTATAAGGCTATAAGCAAATGTGTGAACAAAATGACAAGAAAAATGGTTATTCCAATTTCACACTGTTAAGAGAAATATGTTCATATGACTTGTAATGCTAACTATCATGCTCCATTTGTTTTAGTGCATTCACTAGGTAGCCGGCATCAATTTTATTGAGTGAGACTCCTCTTCATTAATGGAGAGACAAGTGATGTGAAAAACCAAATGAAAGACAACATGCATTCACATTTATATCTTTATTATTTAAAAGAAGATTACACTTTTGGCCTTAAAATACAAATAAAAAAGTAATTTGTCTCTCTATTAATGGAGATGAGTCATACTCCAATTTATTATGTTCTTAAACAATATAATAGTATTTACAATCTAAAGACACCAATTATCACTTTTTCATGCATAGAAATCTGCAATGTGATAGTTAAGACCTAGGTTAGTAACTTTGTCAAATCCACTGTGATATAAATAAAGAATATTATCAAAATCCAATTAAGATATAAACCTCTTCACGATTGCAGAGAGAACACTATTGAAAAATCTCATTGCGATAAATTTACTTTTAAAATAGGAACTTGCCTAGCCTATATGAATGATTTCAAGATGAACCCTTGAGAATGAATTTTTTCGTGTCTTAGGGCCTTGAAATAATAGGTTTTTTGCATCAAGAGGCTGTGAGGAAATAAGTCACATAGTTAATAAGGAAGGGGTATGCATCTTATCATCTTATATTCTAGAATAAGAAAGGAAAGAGAAAGGCTGCACATGAATCTGACTGACGAAATGCTCGTGGAATGTCCATCATCGAGAAGAAGTCGATTCGCTGAAGCATAAAAAAGAGAGAAGGAAGAAGATATCTTATTAGTTTAGTTAACTCTTAGGCCAGCCCTAAGCCCAAAATCAAGAATGCGCTCTTCTCAAGCGAATCCAAATAGGTGTTGGTTTGCGCAATGGAATAAGAAGGGGTTGCGCACAAAGAAAACGATCTTTAGCAGTTGGTTTGAATCGAGCAGACATGATCAATAATTTAAAAGAGAGGACAATGGATGCTTGTTCGACCTTCGAGATAAACGCTCTTTGAATGAGTTCTTTGACAGATTGTCTTGCCGTTGCGCCCCTAGCCCCTAATATTACTGGATTTCCAGTTGATGGGGAAGGCTTGGCAAAGAAGCTTGTGTCGGAATCAGAAGAGAAATGGAAAACTAAGCTGTTCGGGCTTAACCTGAACCTGACCTAGTAGGAGTCAGAATTAGGTTGAGCCTTTAAGACAAGCAATTGACATCTCAGATCTTGCCATTGCTAGGAGCATGGATGCCGAGAATGCCCTCAGTCTATGTCTATCTATATAGGCTTAAAGGTAAAAGGCAAGTAAGTCGTAAAAATAAAGGCTTTTAAGGACCTTCGACTACTTATAAATAAGCTAATAACAGATCTTTTGCGTCTTTCGAGATGCGAAGAGAAGTAATAAGGTTATTGGGATAACGAAGATATGACCATATTTAAGATCGATTTTCAACAGATGAGATCAGATAGTAGAATAGAGAGAAGGATTTGCTGCTTTCTTAAAATGATAGAGAGTCAAGAGAGGGTATATGTTAATAGAGCTCTTTAGATAGGGAGAGGAAAGACGTAACTAGATCGCAGAAAGAATATAATCTTTTACCGCTACATCAGTTGGAGAAGAAAACTCTGCAAAGGAGATTCATATCCTTTCTCTAGTTGAAGACTAATCTGGATATTCCCAAAGATGCTTGACTTCGAGTTCTTGGAGTGACAGCTTTGTAAATAAGGGTCCCCCTTACTCTATAACTTTTCAAATTGATCTGAAAGAAGTGACAGAAGAAAGCTACGGGCATATACCCCCGCCCTAGGGGAACAAGTGCCACCTCAACAGCTATATTCTAAATCGTTAAGCCTCCCTTTCCTTTGTATCGGACCTTTCCCACTTTCCTTCCATGGCTAGTTCAAAAAGGATTTTTCCACTTTGCTTTGTTCATACAATAAGTTATAAAGAAGTTACAATTAAGATTCATAAGACTTCCCACTCGGAATCGGAAGAACTGACTTTTCAACTGAAAGGAGGTGGAAGCTCTACTAAGACGGAGATGGAAAGGAGGGCATTTAGCTCGGCGTTAGGTAGTTAGGAGCGAAGGTAGTACGAGACAGAGCCAAGACTAAGAGAGGATGGAACCATCAATACTTCAAGGAGAGAGTTTAACTTTTGCCAGGTGGGTTACTTTGACTTCGGGAATAAGATTGATAGCTTTTTTAATAGGGCGAGACTAACGGTTCCGATAAAAAGCGATGCCTACTAGACTGGCTCGAATAAGCTTTTAAATAGTCTCATAGCTTCTTCACCTAGCAGAAGCAGAAGTTAGAGACGCAAGGAAAGAAAAAAGCTTGTCCGAGGCAAAGAAAGCCTAAACCTTCACTAGATAGAGTTGGAGTGATGAATCCTAGCCCTCAAACCCGAGCCTTGTAACAATTTTTCGATTGAATTAATAAAATCACGTCCTTTCTGATTCCTCAATATTACATTCTTTTCTTTTTCTCATCTAGCCAAAATATATATATACTCGGTGTAAGAATTTATATACACTTAATATATCGTTTACCATTTATTTATATTATTTTGTTACAGAGTAAATGATGATTAAACATAAATGACATAATAACAATATACAAAACTCATCCAGTATATTGTATACGAGCTAAGTCATTTGTTATAACATGTCATTTATTTGATGTGTGTGTTCAATGATATAAAATGGACGGTTAACAAATACATTCACATTCATGTTTATCAGAATCCATCCAAATCATGTTAAATTAAATCTATCCACCACACTTGATGCTTATCCACTCATTTATCCATTAAAAAAACACAAAATATTCTGTAATAATGGACAGGAGAAAAGGGATTTGAACAACCATAAAAGAGAAAGAATGAGAAACAAAAACCTTTATGGTAAAAAGTTGATTATAAAAAAATTGTCTTTGAAAAAGTGGGTTTTATAAGTGTTTTTGGAAGAAAGATGATTTCAAAACATGCTTTCTTAAAAGAAAGTGCTTTTTAAAAAACCTTTATGGTAAAACGTTGATTATAAAGAATTTGTTTTTGAAAAAGTGGGTTTTATAAAAGTGTTTTTGGAAGAAAAATGATTTCAAAACATGCTTTCTTCAACAACAAAAAAGTGCTTTTTAAAAAACATGTGCATTTTTAAAAGTGATTTTAGTTTCAATTTTTATAAAAAACAAATGATTAATAAATGAGTTAAAATTTATCCATTAAATTTAGATATTAATTTAATAATTTTACATATAATCTCATGAACATTATTCTACCACCTTACATATATCCATTACCATCAAATCCAAATTGATACATTGGCATCCAAATTTGAAACACATATAGAGAAGAATATACAATATCAAAAAACAATAACATAATGGAAAGGGAGAATGGTAGTGACTAGTGAGCTCCCAAATTTGGTTTCTCTAAGATTGAATGAATGAGTTGATTATGCTTGTAGAATCTAAAATAAGTTAATTCATTCAGATTAATTTATTTAAGTGTGTCATCACGTAAATAAGGACAAATATTACAACCAATTCCTATCACAGGCTAATGAAATATTAATTTTTGTTACTTTATATTTTAATATTTTTATTTCAGTCATATAGTAACATTATAATTTGTCAAGGATAAAAATTAGAGACAACGAATAAGACGGATATTCCGTATCCCAAAAATAACGGTATAAGAAATGCTAGCTAGAAACACGTTATCATTGTTTAATTATAATAGACAAATTACGTCTTTGATGCAGTAGTTAATAAAAATATATCAGGTTAAATTAAAAATTTTAAATCTTATTAATATTACATTTAACTCAGAGATGACTCGGGAGGAATAATGCTTTGTCCCTTAATCTTTTTATTTTCCCATCTCACATCTATCAATGTTTCCTAACAAATAAAAATAATTACCATTTTAATTTTATTTTATAAAAGTAATATATTAATATTAATTGTGAATTATGATTCTTTCGATTAATAGAGACAATTGCTTCAAAAACAAAAGAAAATACAATACGACACATATATACACTTGATTAGAATGAAATTACATTTTAAACCTATATATTTTTCGATGTCTACGTATATTTATTGATCATATATCTATTCTAAGAGTATATCCAAAACATTTGACACATATACTCTGAAACTGAAAGGAAGCATCTATAATCAACAATGGCAGAAGAAGCACCACCTTTCGAACCCTCAAAACTTTACGACGTCCTGAAGATTGACCTCAACCAAAACGACACCCTTACCCGGAGCTACGACGTCGTTCCAATTGTCCCTTCATCACCCAGCCCACCCACAGACCCTAATTCAAACCCAATCCATGCCCTCTCCAAGGACATACCCTTAAACCCAACCACCAACACCTCCCTCCGCCTCTTCCTCCCTCACCCTCCTCCATCTCCCTCCGTCAAACTCCCCGTCATTCTTTACTTCCACGGTGGCGGCTTCATCCTCTTTCATGCTTCTTCTAGTGTCTTCCATGATTCTTGCTCTTCCTTTGCTTCACAATTCCCCGCCATTGTTGCCTCCGTTGAATACCGCCTTGCACCTGAACACCGTCTACCTGCTGCATATGACGATGCCGTCGACGCAATTAACTGGCTCAGAAATCAAGCACTAGACCCCACTAAGTCCGAGCCTTGGATTCGACAATATGCAGACTTTAACAATTGCTTCTTAATGGGATGCAGTGCTGGGGGCAACATCACCTACTTTGCAGGTAGGTACACCACTAATTTCTATGAATATAGCAAAAATAACTATTTAATGAACATAATTTCATATTAGTTTTAATAAAAAATAAATACCAAGTTTGTTTAGAAAAAATTCAATCGAGATGAATTGAACTCCACTAATTTCTTCACTTCTACATCATCTATTTACTCTTCTTTTCTTTTATGTTACTCTCAAAACTTTGACATATCATTTTTAAAACATTTCTTATTATTAATATTGTTGTTGGTTTAATTCAAATGTGAAGTATAGTCTAAACTTATTGTATAGTATATAATTTTAATATTTTTTATATTACTAAATTAACATTTTTTCGGTTGGTATGACTCGGAGTTAAGAATAAGTAAGATTGATCATAGATAAAAATAAAATCACTGAAAAATAAATAGATGGAGAAAAAGTGTCACCAAATACCGTTGAAAAGTTGTATTACTTTCAGTGTAAGGAAATAGAGATGAGTCAGTGTACACCCTGAAAAGTTGTATTACTTTCTTATTTTTTATAAGAAAATATAAAGTTAATATAATATAATTTATGTTTTATATGTCTGAAAACATGAAGTAGGGAATTTTGGAAGATAAGGAGTGTGACTCCAACCTCATAAGATGAATTGATAGAAAAAATGGAATGCTTTATTTGTAGGGTTTGGTAATTGAAACAAAGAAAATAAAGTCCTAAAATGGTAGGAAGAAGAAATTGAATTGAGTACGCCAATGGCCAAGAAATGACAAGTGCAATGTCACATAGCTGTATCTTTCCATGTTTGTTGAGATCAATTGTTCACGTTTCTTCCCAATTTCTTGTCCCATTTAATAAAATATATTATTTAATTAAAAAATATCATAAAAACATAAAATAACAGGTTTATGTTTAGTAATATATTACGAGATATCTATTTATTCTGAGAGTAAGTTTTTTAAACTTACTTCATATTTTAACCATTAATTCTAGGGAAACTCAATGGTAATGACGGTCTATATTAATAATATGTCATTACTATTTAAAAAACTTACTCTTGGAGTAAGTGAATCCCCTCATTATTATTGATATATATTTATTTTGAATAGGAAATACATAATCATGTCTCAGTCACTACAGAGATAAGTAGGTCCCATTACTTCTTTTTTTGACCTTATCAATACAAAGATATTATACCACAAATCCTCCAATATGATAAAAAAATAGTGGTGAACTAATTATTAATAAACTTTATGATATATGCTTTTTTTTTTGTGGTGTTGAAGGATATAGTGTTAGTTTGTTATTGTTTGTTTATTAATAATTCATTTTTTTACACTACTAAAGATATTAGTGAGGAACTAATTAATTTCGGAGTTTGTATTTGTCTTTCCCAACAAATGTTGCTATTAGGAATTGAATATTTGACATTTTGATTATCATAAGGATCTACCGGAACCTCATATCACAAGACCAATATTGGTTTATATTAATAATTAGTTTACAATATATGTTGGTATAAAAAAGAAAATTTTGTAGAAAAATATATCATTAATCTTAATAAAAGGGAATTGAGTAGAAGTTAAAATAGAATCTAATGGTGGATATATATTATATAGCAGGCTCATTTCTCTTTTTATATTCTATATATACATGTTTGATCTTACCTCTTAATATAAAATAAGGTTAAGAGAAAATCTACTAATACATATTAAGAATTTTTTATATTGTTATTGTTTCGTTCGGTATTCATTTTTGTTATAATTGATTTTTAAATATAAGTAATACAAATTAGTTTTCATATTAACTATACATAAATATTTTAAATATAACTAATTTATTTTTGTTATTTCTCTATTGGTTGATTTGTTACTAGGAAATAATTTATTTTGTAATCACTTTTAAAAAGATAATAAAAAGGGAAGAGTAACCATTTATTGACAAACTAAATCTATTATCCTCAAAATCTTATTTTTATTCAATGATACCTTTGTGAAAGTATTTGTTAAAGATAACTTTTAGGGGAAATGATGTTGAAATGGTGTAATCAATTAATCAAGTAATGTATTTAACTTTCAAATGAAAATTTAACTTTTATATTAATTTACTTATCCTATGCAATAAGTTAAAAAGCTCATATTTTTATGTCTTATACTCTAACCCCTCTTTTGACACATTCTAATTAAATTTATCCCTTATTCATAGGTCTACGTGCAATTGACATGGATATAAATCCTATTAAGATCAAAGGTCTAATAATGCATGTCCCTTATTTTAGTGGGGTCCAAAGATCTGAATCAGAAATAAGATTAATCAATGATAAACTTATCCCTTTACACAAGAATGATACAATGTGGGCCCTATCTTTACCAAAGGGTTCAGATCGTGACCACGTGTATTGTAATCCAATGGTGTCAAATATGATTTATGGAGACAAGATTGGAAAACTACCAAGATGTTTCATCAATGGTAATGGTGGAGATCCTTTGATTGATAAGCAAAAAGAGTTGGTTAAGATATTAGAGGAACATGGAGTGCATGTGGTGCAACATTTTGTTGAGGATGGGTTTCATGCTATAGAGCTTTTTGACAAGGCCAAGGCAATGGTTTTTTGTGAGATTGTGAAGAAGTTTGTGGATGACACAATTGCTTCTTAATCTATGTGAATTTGGATCTAAATTCTAAAGTGAGTGAGACTATGCTTTATTATGTTTTATAAAAAATAAGAGTCGGTTTGAGAGTTGGATTTTGGGTTGAAAGGAAACCGAAGGTTTTATAAGCATGAAATACACTTGTAAGATAATTTTAAAGTCTTATATTTCTCTTTCTTACTCTCCAAAATCTAACTCACAAATATACCCTCAGGGTCTGTTTGTGAGTTGGGTTCCGAAGGGAAGATAAAGAAATGGAAGACTTGAGAATCATGAAATACACGTGTGGGATGAGTATGAAATTATTCATTTCTCTTCATACTCCTTTAAAACTCAACTCACAAATATACCTAAATGATAACCCAATATGCATTGTAAGTTTTTTTCTTCAAACTATTGAATGTTTACTTGTTAATGGATGTATATCTTCTTTATCCATTTCCAAAACTCACAAAGGAGAATTGCTCATTGGTTTACCTGTATGAAGGAAACTTTTGGCTACTAATTTCTTTTTTTGCATTGGTACATAGCATCAAAATATGTATTTAGTAGACACAATGTAGAAATTTTTGGCATAAGAAATGAATTTTTCATTAAGCTAATGGATAATGAAATAATAAATTGAAATTGGCGTTAGGAATGTGAAAAGAGAAATTTTAGCTACAAGTTAGCCTAAGAATTTATAAACAAAGTTTAAAACACAAATATTCTACATAATAGACTAGCTGAAATTTCATGATTGGTACCCATAATGTTTTTTTATAACCAAATGTTGAAGAGTATCTCATCGCCCTATAGATAAGAAACTAATCTCTTTTACAGTGTATGACTACCTTTTAACAATTGTCGCTCTCATGAATCGAATATTTGATTTTTTAGTCTATCTGAGAATCTAGTAAGGCTTACGACCCCATATCAATGTCTTGTTGTTAAAATTTGGAATCCCATGCCTATAATGGTTTGATACATCATATAAATGAAAACATGGTTTCTCAAATTTGGAATCCCAGGCCTATTTATGAATATACACTGCAGCTATACTCACACATCACTTGAATATGGACCACTTTTGTAGCTATTTATTACACACACCAACCTACTTCAAAGATTTAATTAACTCATCATGTATATTACCAATGTAGATATTCTGATGCAAAAGAAACAAAACAACCAATTCATCACGGATTATTGAATTCACACATCACATGCAATTATCACTCATCAACCAAGCTCTTTCCTTATACCTACAACAAAATATTGAATTCATTTTGCAGCCAGACATTTTCTTTTTCCCTTTTCATCACGTATTTACTACTCCGTCCTTGCATTGCATTGAAATATCACATTATTGGGGTCATTTAAGGCACGCGCAACAATTTAATATGGTTTTCATACACACCTAAATTACCTGCACCAACAGATCTGTAATGACAATAAAATTGTATGTTTACTATACATTCCTTGTGTTTTATTAAAAGGATGATATTAAGATTGTTCAATTTATGTGACTGACACTTATTAGGAGAGATAATCATTATCTATGGGGGAATACCACAAAAATGATATCAAGTCATTGGTAGGTTTTTCCCCTCACTGTGGGCAATGAATGTCATTCCTAGCATCAGAAAGGTTGTTTCGATACTTTTTAATTTCATGCCTGTGTAAGCTTTGAAGGATCACTATCCAATAATGGCGAGTTTATTTTCTTCTTATCTAGTCTTCAATATCGAGGTGGGATTTAGTCCCACTAAAATCTCGTCTTCAATATTTTTTTTAATTTCAGAGTTGTGTAAGCTTTGAAGGAATAGCCAAGTACCTCTAAAATCTCGTTTTCAATATTTTTGTAGGTCAGACTTGAATCCATAATTTCATTCACCTCATTCCTTTAACTTCTCACCTTAACCATCAAACCGACTTCTTACCTATGTCACAACTGACCGAAAGTCATTGGTAAGAAATAAATAAATAACAAGATCGAGTGTAGTGTGTCCAAATCAATGCTAATAAGTGATAATAGATGCTGTTTTAGTTTAGAGTTTCAAAAGGTCATGCAAGACTTATCACACGACATCCTTATTGCACTACAAAATATGCATAACACTGCAAAATACACTTTCTAAACAGATTCCCGAGGACTAGTTTGCAAATTAACCAACATTTTGGAAGAGCCATTGCAGCAAGGTCATCACCGATGTCGCCTCACCGCAAACCTAGTCATCGCCTCACCGCAAACCTAGTCATCATCGCACTCCCGGACCTCCTCCATGCTGTCATCATCAACAAGCAACGACGAAATTTAACTTCAATTGATGCACATTGTGTGTTCAATTTTTATTTTATGGGTTCTATTTTAGTTCCCCCCACTGCTGTTTTTTTGGAAACTATGTGATCTTTTACACGATTAAGAATTATTTGATGTAATCTGAATAACATGAATTTAAAGTTACAATTTCATTTGTTTGATGTTAATCCTTTTTGAAGTTTCAAATATACATGGTAGTTTGGTGATGATGAAATGCAGAAAAAAAGGATGTCACACAAATTTTGATGATGAATTGAGCCTGTTGTTTTGAATTTGTTCATTGTAGCCTCCCAACACCAAGAACCATAACTACTTGCTCCCCCAAGGTTTCTGTGTTACGGTTTTTTGGGATGCTTGAGGAAGATTGCAATGTTTTCAAGACTTCAGGTCTATGTCCAGTGGTTTCTAATCAAAGATGAGATGGTTGTGGTGGTGGCGGATGACATGACCACACTTGTTCACCCGGTTTGATCTGATCATGATTGTACCGAAATATGATCGGGTTTCATCATGTATAGAACTGAGTTCAGAATAAAAAATTAGACCCAAACAATATTTAAGATCGGGCAAGGACAAACCTGATCTGACTAGATTTATCCCATGATCACTTATTCATCATGTTTATATGTCATTTCAACTATGTTCAGAGTAATAACATCTTTTGGGTCAAAAGTATCATTGATGTTCTAATTTTCCATCATATATACATATATCATTTCATATCTCAAATTATATATTCATAATAATAAGTAATATTGAGACGACTTTATCTAAAATGAGTATTATTTATATTTAATTGCGTCTAAGTTCGGGTTCAAAGGCTAACCCAATCAACATTTACGGTCGGGTTACTTTCGGATCAGTCGAGTTCAAGTTCAAAAAAATAATTCGGTCAACATTTAGGGTCTGGTAACAAACAGGCCTTACCAAACTCAGCCATGCTCACCAGACCTCAAAGCTAATTACAAGTGGTGTTACATGTTCCCAAGCTGCCTAGGATTCTCATGTGCACCCAACATAGCAAAAGCAATGTT